CCCCTTTCCCAAGCCGAGCTCCCTTCTCCCGGGGCGGCGCGGTTGTCGCTGCAGCATGGGGCCCCTGGCGCGCACCGTGGAGCTCTTTTACGATGTGCTGTCCCCCTACTCCTGGCTGGGCTTCGAGGTAACGCCGGGGGAGCCAGGACTCGGCCGGGGCCTGTAGGGCGAGGGCAGAGGGAAGAGCGAGCGCGGGGGACGGGGACAGAGGTCTCCTGAGATTCCTGGCGCTGCCCGACGGGGTTAGGACCAGCAGAGAGCGCCAGGGCTGAAGGTCACTTTGTGCTTTTGCACGGGATAGAGTCTCTGCTCCAAGTGGAGCCGTTAGATCCTAAGTCAGTAGTTTCCACGGTGATTTGGACGAAGAGGGGCAGCTCCAAAGAAAGAGAAATTCAGGACACGGCCACCTCTTAGCGCTCTGATGGCAATTTGGGGAGTGGGATGCAGAACAGGATGGCAACCATCCATGGCAGCAAAGATCCTGGGCTTGATTTCTAGGAGAGGACAGGTTTTTGCCATTTCAAACCAAACAATTTAAAGTGTCCTGATAACCCCTACTCTGCGCTTAGAGCCGCTGGTTGCTATGAAACAACCTTTCCCTTTCCCTTCACTGTTTCATTTTCCATCTTACACACAGACTCTTTCCTCGCCTCTGCTCTGGTAGGTCCTGTGCCGGTACCAGAACGTTTGGAATATCAACCTGCAATTTCGACCCAGCTTCATTGCAGCCATCATGAAAGACAGTGGTAGGAAGAGAGAAGCATTTGCTGCAGAATGGGGTTGAGGGAGGGATGATTATAATGGACCAGGGGAGCTGTCTTCAACTGGTCTTTATATTGGCACTGGCAGCTAATAAGTTCCCCCGTGCCCAAGACCTAGTAAGGGGGACCCCAAATCTGGGACAGTTTCACGAGTGTGCTTAACTTCCACTGGCAGGGAACAAGCCACCAGCTCTGGTTCCCCGCAAAGCTCAATACATGACAAATGACCTTAAACTCCTGGGAAAGCAACTCCAAGTTCCTATCCAGTTCCCCAAGGATTTCTTCTCTGTGATTCTTGAAAAAGGTGAAGAGCATGCAATGTAGGTGAGGTCTCAAGTGGAGAACAGAGAAGTCCAAGATTGAAGGAAGGAGGGGCTCGGGAGACTAATTTAAATGAAGCATGCCTTGGGAGACCTCAGGTCCAGAGTTGAGCTAGCTGAAGGTTGGGGGGACATAAAAGGGAAGGGGAGCAGGGCAGATCGGTTATGAGAAACTTGGGTGAGAGGCTGAGGGCCACTGAGCTCTGGGGGATGTCAAAAGCAGGGGAGAGCTTGTCCTCCATCAGGGAACAAGCTAAGGGAGCCCCACGTCTGAGTGCCTCTGCCCCACAGGAAGCTTGTCTGCCATGCGATTCCTCACCGCCGTGAACTTGGAGCACCCGGAGATGCTGGAGAAAGTGTCCAGGGAGCTGTGGATGCGCGTCTGGTCACGGGTGAGGGCTGGGCTCTGGGGAGACCTTGGATGACTTTCTACCCTTCCCAGAGCCATTTCCAGAGTCAGGATCCTGCCCTCCCCCGTCTGGTCACGGGTGAGGGCTGGGCTCTGGGGAGACCTTGGATGACTTTCTACCCTTCCCAGAACCATTTCCAAAGTCAGGATCCTGCCCTCCCCGTTGTTGGCTGATCTTGTTGGCTGATCGGCACGCCTTCTTGTCACCACCGCCTTCCTGCTGAGTGGTCTCTTCTTCTCAGGATGAAGACATCACGCAGCCGCAGAGCATCTTGGCGGTGAGTGTCCAGGCTCCCTCCCACTGCTCTCAGGGAATTGTAGGACAGCTGGCGTTTGCAGGTGAAGAGGACAATCTTTTTGTCCTTGCATGGGAAAGGTCATAGTTGCTTGGGAAAAAAGGATGTCTGTGTTGAGGGGGAAAATTACTGAAAAGTTGGAACTAAGATGATTCTCAAAAGAATGTCGCGAGGTTGAAAGAGGAAGTGCTAAAAGGACAATACATGGATAGAATTTATTTGATGAGAGAAGTTAGTGGGGGAGAGATGATAAGTGTTAGAATCCCCAGATGGGAAGTGATGGGGTATTCACAGGGCCTTAAAGTCCCCAACACAAACCTCATCAACACATCCAGAGTGGAAAGCAAGAGACTTTAAAAAGAGGCTTTATAAAGACAAAAAACAGATAGTGACTAACGCCAGAATTATACAGAAGCCTGAGTGAGAACAAATGGAACTGGCTCAAAACGTTGAAAAGTGTGCCAGCGTAGACGGGGGTATGAAAAGTAAGGTTTTCTTTAATTAAACCGGAAAATTCAAACCGATATTTTTCCTCCAGTTTATAAAAAAGAGTTAAGGCATTTTTAAGTTTAATGTATAAAATGTCAAATTACACAAAAGTTAAATGTACAAAGAACAGCCAATATATCTTCTAATGTCTTTATTTCCGCAAAGTATATACATAATTTTTAGTTTGCTTTTTTACTTAATATTTAAGAATAATTTCTATGCTATTTTTAACTCTGAAACTATAGCATTCATTCAGTGGATTTATTTTTTCTTTCTTTAACCATTTCCCTGTTGTTGAACATTTGGTCTGAGACACAATTCTCTAATTTTGCCAAGGCAAAGGCAGTGTCTAGTTAGGGTGGATGGCATGATTTTGTGTGTTCCCCTCTAAGGTCAGGTGGCCAAGGTTCTCAACCTTGGCTGTACATTAAAATCACCTGGAACACTTGGAGCTATCCCGCAGAAATTCTGGTGGATTCCAGGGGATGGGCTGCAAGTTGGGATTTTTAAAAGCTTCCCAGGAGATTCTAATGTGCAGCCAAGGTTGAGAACCACTGATCCCAAACTACAACAAATACCAAACTGAAGTCTTTAGCCATGTAGGAAGGAAAGATCCCTGGACTTCGATTCTAGGGACTTGGATTCTAGCATCAGCTCTGCTACTAACAAGCTCAGAAACTCTAAGCAAGTAGTGTATTACCTCTGGACTTTAAGCTGCTCCTTTGTGAAGTGCAGAGGTCAGCTAGCTGGTCTCTAAGATGCCCTCTGGTGTTACATTCTGTAACTGACTCTGTGGCACCTGCTCTTTCCACCCATCTCAAGATTTTGGAGAAAAGAAACACTTCTTCTTGGCAAGGATAGACCCCCACTTGCTAGTGGATAAAAGCATTGCCAAGAAAACATGGGGCGGAAAATGAAAAGCCCAGAGTTTTCTTGTGAGACCCCCACCCTCCACAATGCAGACACAGTTGTGTTCCCTACACGCTTAGGCTGCAGAGAAGGCTGGTATGTCTGCAGAACAAGCCCGAGGACTTCTGGAAAAGATCTCAACACCACAGGTGAAGAACCAGCTCAAGGAGACCACCGAAGCAGCCTGCAGATACGGGGTGAGCAGTTCCTGGTCTGTGTTCCCAGCCCCCATCCTGAACATAGAAACTGAGCTTCTCTGCTGGGTCCCCATGCTCCTGTCCAGAAGCCTCTTCCCCAGCATGAGTCCTCCCCAGCTCTCCCAGACAACCCTCATCATCTCTCTTCCTTTCCCTGAGCCCAAGGAAAGGAGGGAAAGGAGATTGATGGTGAGAGTAAAGACAGAGCGTCTAAGAGTTAGGAACAGAGAAGGCGCCTGGGAACATGGAGCCTCTTATCAAATGCCTCCTGGACTGCTTTGCTTCTGTGATCCCAGACAAGTACTGACTGAAACCTTCAACCCCAACCTAACAAACACCTGCTCCATCCCCTTCCTCCCTGCTCTATAACCACTTTCTCCAGGCCTTTGGACTGCCCGTCACTGTGGCTCATGTGGATGGCCAAACCCACGTGTTATTTGGCTCTGACCGAATGGAGTTGCTGGCACACCTACTGGGTAAGTTCAAGGTTCAATGTTGGGCATACTTTGACGCCAACCCCACCCCCATATATCAGTTGACTGAAAGGAGGGGATTAGAGCAAAAAATGTTCTTGCCAACTCCAACAACTAACGTAGACTTATGCAGACAGTCCTGCTCAAGGTTGAATGGGGAGGGGCCACCTTCACCCGCAGAGGAGAGAAGGACACCTTCTATACCTTGAAGCCAAGCAGGGCTCTTCCTACATAACCCCTGGCAGCCCGTGGGGCCAACCTCTACTGTCAGCACACCTGAAAACTGATTCTCTTCATCAAGGAGAGAAGTGGATGGGCCCTGTGCCTCCAGCCCCGGATGCCAGACTTTAAGACTGCCTGGAGAAAGCCGACTATTGGTATAAAACAGTAGGCCATCTGCCTAACCTCTCCTCCACCTTGGGCCACTAGGACTTGGATTTCTCTATGGACAGAGGTATCCTCTGTGACCCTGGGGGCTGTCCCTCTTCCCCCTATCCCCAGGGATGCTGGGGAGGTGTCCACCCTTAGTCTTGTGGCTGCCCTTGATTCTGTGCTTCACAAGTGCCTTTCAGAGAGCCCTAAATTCTTTTTTCCCACAAAATAAACATGTTTCTGGATCTGTGTCTGCCCTGATGTTGTCGGCATTTTCTCACCTGTGATCACATTGCCCACTCTAGGGGCTGGGGAAGAAGAGTCTTTCTCCCAGCCAGGCCAGCTACCCACCTGTCTTGGGACAGCTTGAGTGAAAACAGTGGAAACAGTCCCCCTCTCTCTTACATAGCAACCCCCTTGGTCTCTTGCCAATGAAAG